GAAGAAATGTAGTTCTAGGCAATTTAAACGAGAGTTGTCGATTGGTTGATTTCCAATTAGGGGAAGAGAATAAAGGATGAGAGCCATTAACTTTATTGAGCTCATTTGTGAATATCACCAGGGGTTCAAAGATTTCTAATCCTAACATCCAATAATGTTATGTTGCCTGGATACAACACCTCAAAAAGGCAATCAAGGTTGTAATGAAACCTAACCTATTTTCCTCATCATTCAATCAATCCCACATCTCGGGAGCAAGGAGTGAATGTACTTCCTGTTCCCTTAAATTTCCATTGGGACATTGTTATTGTTGTTGACTTGAATCAGGTGTAACAATACGAAAGGATAATTTCCATTCAGCAGCACACTGTTGTCTTATACCAAAAATAGATCAAAAAAGATCCTTGCATGCTGTGAGCTACACATTTGAGCACGAGAAGGTTAGACATAGAAGGAAATTTAGTTTTCTTCTTAAAAAAGCTTTGAGAACAGGAGCCGGTTGCACCAGCTTAAATATATTTTAGCCTACAGTAAAGTAAAGTGTGTGTTTGGAAGTAGTGACGTATGTATTATTAAACAGGTTACACAACACAAACTACGCTTCAAGTAAAAATAAGTTACAGAATACTTGCACCCTGTAACCACCAATGGGAACACTTTACACAGCTCACTGACTAAACATCAGCTAGCTTGCTAATACATGACCTTGTAGAGATATGCAATATACTTCAAACTACAGAACATTTCAGAATAGCATTTAGTTTATGTCGCTTGAGTTTTATATTGCACCTTGTTAAGCTACATTTACATTTTGATTAAAATGTATTGCTTTTGATGAGAAAAGAAAATGATTACAAGCTTGGACAGCCACGGTGGCAGAATATCAGTGTTAGTATTATTAGATCTCAGCGCTACGTTTGATACTGTTGACCACAACATATTGTTAGACCGACTAGAAAACTGGGTGGGAGTTTCAGCAACAGCTCTACACTGGTTTGGTTCCTACTTAAAGGACAGAAAAAAAGTTGTCTCTATAGGCAACTAAACATCAGCATCGACAAATATGACATGAGGTCCTCAAGGCTCCATCTTAGGACCTCTGCTTTTTAATATCTATACGCTACCACTGGATCAAATTATGAAAAACAACTACCTAAGTTATCATATCTATGCAGATGAAACCCAGATTTATTTAAAAATTACACCAGGAGACTATTCGCATATTTGTTGAATATTTGCAGTTTATGTATTGAAAAAAAGTCATCCGCTCAGACGGTTTGTTTCATAGATAAGTAGGGTGAGACTACAAATGAGGCCAAGAAAAAGGCTTTGCAATTGCAATACCAATTTATCCTCACAGCTGGTGCAATCGTAGAGGTCCATTGAGGAGCAGGCTGTTCACTCCAAAATAGAAGTACAGGTGACACATTTGTGTTCCAACGAGTTCTTTTTTCACAAAGGGACTAAAACAGTCGTTTCAGGGGGAACAGTTTAGAGGCATGATGTTCTTTAATGTAGTCTTTTGGTCTCAGTTTGGTGAGAATAATACTATGTCATAAGGTAAATAGCTCAGTAAACATAAACAACTATTAAAAGGAATATCACATATGATTGTTAATGTGTAATTTGCAGTGGTTCCTATGACCAGGAAGTGGAATTGTTGAAATCACCTGAGCTGACAGTTCAAGGAACCATTGAAGGTTAGTGAATAAGTCATTGAAACTTACACTATTACAGTATGATTGATGGACTTCAACTTTATGGTTCATTTGTTTACATACAGAATGGTCGGCCAGGTGGTGCATTGCACCAAGACTTCATCAACATAATATCTGCCTAAGTTGATTGTGAATTCATGTGACCATGGATTTTGATACGAACAAAGCATTTGTGGAATAAAATATATTGATCTTTAAGTTGTTATTTTAAAGCATCTCCTCCAATGAAATGTGGTACATACAACAATCCATGATCATACAGTCGTCACATTTCAATATAATGGCTTACTGTTAGCAATATATTGCAATGTCATACATTGTAGGAGCACAACACCAGGTGTATAGAAATTGACACTAAAAAAGGAGACTTTATCAGTGAACCCAATCAGAACCTGGATTTGTATGCACATTTAACAGTCCCAGAAACATCTGATATCAAAACCAAATACAAAAGAAAAGGTCTGCTAAAACAATATTATGTAATTATTATTATTTAAAAATCAGTATATTGTGTTTCAGAATCAATACACTAAGCAGAATATTGGGATATTCAAGTGGTTTTCTTAGACCCCTAGTCGCACCAATTGTATGTCAATGTTGTTGTTAAACTTGTGTTTTCTTTGCATATAATCATTAATACAAAAAACAGAAGCAACAATTATTGATTAATGCCTACTATAACACTTCCAACATGCTAAATAATTGCATGTTTAATTGACTGATATACATGTATACCTGATTTGACCAATAACTATTTAGCGATAGATAGAAAAGGATACATAATGGTATCACATGGCCCATTATAAGCCTGTTAATTAGAAAGTAAAATCATTTATTGCCAGTGTGGCATTATCTTTTAGCGCAAAACCACTTGTTTGGATGGAGGCGTTTTGAAATCCCTGAAACTTCACGTATCAGAAAACCGTAGCCAGGCTCTCCGCTCGGAGGGAAACTGTTGTTTTGGTACTGTTTGTTACTGTGTGTGTGTGCGTGTGCGTGTGTGTGTGTGTGTGTGTGTGTGTGTGTGTGTGTGTGTGCGTGCATTTAGAGCAGTCTGATACAAGAGGAAGTGGGTCACAGCTCCTCAGGGGAACCACTCTGCTAGCTTGAACTTCCTCTTGATCATACATGTTTAATGATGAATTGTAACATGTTTAAAGGCAGCGGCCCAGCCACAGCTGATATTTAGAAAAATCCTACCGTACAAGTAAACACACTCACACACACAAAGGAGAAGAGAAATACAGTGAATGAACAAACATGCCCACTGTACTGTAGACCATATGAAAAGGAAATACAATCAAATAGCTTACGTGCACAGTGCACACCCAAACCACACACGCACACACTGTACTGAAAATGTGATCACAGTTAATTAAAGATGACTTTATGTCGTTTTTGGGTTATGTGGAACCCATTAAAGGAGCCCTGTTATGCTTCCTGTAGTGTGTTTTATAGGTTTGTGTGCATGTAAATGGTCTGTAAAGGATAAAATCCCTCCAGAGAGAGTTTATCTCCCACACACTCCAATCCTGATTGAAACGTCTCCATTGGACTCTTTTGTTTATTTCCATAACATAGTGACATCCCTATTCAACACTCAAGCCTCTATTGGCGAGCGCTTCAACACATTGTAAGTGATAATTTTGTAACATTAAAGCATGGAGACATGTCACAGTAGAGACACTACATACAAATATGAACCTGGAAATTAGTATAATATCTCCTATTTAAGTAAATAACTCAAATGTTCTGATATTTAGGGAACATCCCTAAGTGGTTTCCCTCTGATATTCCAATAGTTTTAACATGTTGTGACAGTGTAGACATAAAGTAATATTTAAAGTATATAATTGAGCTACGAAGTACTTTTCTCAATGTGGCATAGTTTTAGTCTCCTCCTGATTGATTAGAATATTGTTTTTATGGATTTAAATCCATGTAATTTTTTTCTTGGATTACACTTTTATTATGAACCCAGAGACATGCACTTCCTCACCATATGACAGGAATTGTTTAATATAGACCCCTCCTTTATTTAATCTTGGTTAGAAAACTCATGTTCCTTTTGCCAATGAAGTGGAGCCACTGGTTACGTTTTATAACTCTTGAGTTAACAGATGTTTTAGTTGTGTCAGAAGTGTAGCTCAATGTATCATCTTATCACTTTTAAAAAAAGATATTGAACATGAAAAAAATAATATTGTTTCTAAAGTCAATATTGAACAAAATCCAGCCAACTCCTCCATGCAGGAGTCTTACATCACTGGATTAGATCTTCATTGTTTTTCTTGACCTATGTCTGCAAAGTGCTGGGAGCTTTATGGGACATTTCGGGTGGGGCTCCACAGTAAAGAAGAGAGCAACACTCACAGAGTTCAGTCTGTTGGAGAAAGGGTGGATGATGTAGTGGATTGGCAAACAAACAAACATGGTTCTGCTGATGCAATCAACAAGTTCACAGATGATATTCTTTATATTATTTGCATTTTATTGTCACAACACAATTTTCTGTATTTATCTGACTTTTTTCAACTATTCAATCTTTTTCATTTAGTAATGAAAGAAAAACACTGAAATACCTGTTTTGCTACTTTCTTATTACATCAACGCATTTTTTGTAGCTTTTTAGACTGACCACTGATCTGAAATGATCCGTTTTTGAAGACCATGCACACACCCTTTTAGTAAGACTTGAATCAGTGAGTTAAGGTGTCCATTTTCAAATCATTAGGATACATTGCATGTAAAAACTGAAAAATTACATTTAATATGTTGTTATATTTATCTTTGATACGAGTTTTAGCCAATGCCTTAGCACTTACAAAAGTGTTATTTTTTTCATCAAAAAGCTATGTGTGATTATTACCTGGAAGGGGGGGTTAGTATTGTTTTTATTGGTTAATTGTCTATGTGTTTTGTTTGTGAAGCACTTTGAGTTACCTTTGTGTATGAAAAGTGCTTTATAAATAAAATTTGATTTGCTTATTTAAAGCTCATACTTAAACTATTCTTGATTCTTTTGGTTTCTTTGTCATGTTTTTCTCATGGCTTTAATGCACTTACAATAGCCAAATTAAACGTAATAAAGATTTAACACAAGCTGTATAAAGGAAAAGTGTCTGCTAATTGCTCTTCTGAAATCAAATGAAAAATCTTAAACTCGTGCTGAAATCGAACGATCAATTTAACCATAAATCCCCAGATATGAGATGCTTTTTACGACAGATGCAGGTTATTAAAACTCTTTAAACTGTCAGAGAGGAGATTGTGGAGCCTGACCTGAGTCCGTGTATCTCGGTCTGGCCAGGTCCCTGAAGTAGTAAATGAAGTCCAGGCAGTGATCGTCCTGCACCTCTCCCTTGGAGCACAGGTCGGACAGCAGTTCCAGCGCCTTTCGACAAATCTCATCCTCTCTTTCTGCAGGCATTGCCCTCCAGCATCCTTCTGTCTGGACGGCCACTCCGGCTGATCCTCCTCCACCACCACCTCTCTCTCAGTCAAACACACACACGCTTACACAGCCTCCACCGGCGTAAAGACGCACCACGGCTAAACGCCTGGAGAAGTCCGGGGCTTGCGACGCATCCGAGAGGATCGCAATTAATTTGAGTTTTGGTGAAGATTGAGTAAAAGCAGAAGGTTTAAGTTAAGAAAATATTAGTTTTCATTGGTTAAAAAGATTAAAAATCGCAGGGTTTTGTTGTCCATAAATGGAAAAAACTTCTCAAATCGAGCGCGCTCTTCTTCTCTTTAAAAAAATGCCTTTTATTTACTTTTCCGCTGTTGTCTCCTCTCCTCTCCTCTGTGATCACCGCTGAGCCTCCAGGCTTCAGCAGCGTCAGTCAAGGTCCTTGAATGAATGCTCGGCTTTCTCTGCGTTCAATTCTTTCTCAATACACTGAGATGCACTGACAGACAGGAAGTTCTGCCCCCATAAAGCACCCCCCGCCCCCTCCAACACCATCATCACCATCTATCCAAGCAGCAGCACACAGAGAGGTCTACTGAGGAACAGCCAGTAAGGATTTCTGTGCACCTCCAACTATAGGGTTAAAAATGAAATAGTTACAATTAATAATTGACTGTACAACAAATGTTGAATCTAATTGAAATACCCCAACATAAAAAAGCCAATAAATACGAAAGAAAATAACAATCAGTATCATGTTGTTTACCTAAGTGTATTATGTAAGACAACCGAACAATTCAACCTTATAAAAGAAGAAGCCAAGATATTTAAAATGTGTCAATAAGTGATTTTATTTATAGGAAAACCTGCCAGCAAATTCATTTTAGTTTAATACACACAGTTAAGCTTGCACACTATTTTAGGAACATAAAGGTTTGCCTACTTAATTAAAAACAGAACAAATGAACCAAAGAAAGTGGAAACCATAAAGCAGATTCAGGCAGTAGGCGTATAGATTCAAAGTATTAGCTTATAATCTTGCTAGTAATACAAATGTTTTTAAATATACCACTTACGTGATAATGTCTTTTTTTAATGTTACTGTTATGTTACCTTTTTTCTCCAAATGACGTAATCTTTTCAGGTTGAATTCATTACTCCCCATGCTCAATTCTCTCAGGGATCAATCAATCAATGTTTATTTATATAGCCCAATATCACAAATGTTACATTTGTCTCAGTGGACTTCACAGTGTGTACAGAATATCAGTATGAAAATACGACACCCTCTGTCCTTAGACCCTCACATCGTACAAGGAACAACTTCCGGAGAAAATCCACAGTTTAAAGGGAAAAATGGGAGAAACCTCAGGGAGAGCAACAGAGGAGGGATCCCTCTCCCAGGACGGACAGACGTGCAATAGATGCCGTGTGTAAATCGAAGAGATAATACATTTTACAGTGTAGGTAGACCAAATGTTTGGAAATGCATGTGTCTATAATAAGAAGATGAATCCACGAGGATGTCAGCAATCTTGTGGGAGCCATCAGGGAAGTAGTATGGTAAGAGTCTGGCAGGACCGCAGAGACAGGTTCAGGCCCGACTCGAAGTCCAGGACTCAGATCCAGTACTCAGGATAGAGGATCCAGGACACAGGACCACAGCAACAGGATTAGCCTCGACTCAGGATCCCGGCGTATATATGGACACAAAAAAGAGATTTGGGGGAAACTGGGTTAATCGGAACATGAGAGTATACAGGTACAAACAGCCAGAAAGACGGAGTAAGGTGCCCCCCTCAACAGTCCAAGCCTATAGCAGCTAAACTAACATGTCTACATGCACTCCCTTAGGATAGGTTGAGGGAAAAGGGTAGCAAGTAAGAAGTAGGAAACAGAGGTGGAGAGGCACACAGGGAGAAAGGTCCCCACTGGAACCTGAATTTGTCAGAGGTAAGGGTGGGTCTGTGGCTACGTTCCACACTCCCTGGCCGGGCTAGGCGTTCTCTGCAACCTGTTCTCTCTAATAAACCTCGAGAGGTCATAGAGGGGAAAGGTTTGGATAAAGTTTTAAATATAAGATCTAAGTTTTTAGGATTTAAGTGAAAGAGTAAGAATTAAAATGTATAGGCATAACGTATCTACGTCAATGCACTCTTATTAGATTATTTAATTTTATCACTATAAGCTTTATCAAAAAGGAAGGTCTTAAGCGCACTCTTAAAAACGGATAGGGTGTCTGCCGCCCGAACACAAACTGGAAGCTGATTCCACAAATGTGGAGCTTGATAAGAAAAGGCTCTGGCTCCCATTTTTAATGAGTTCTTTAAGGTAAGATGGCGCCTGCCCATTAAGGGCTTTGTAGGCGAGAAGAAGAATTTTAAATGATATCCTGTGTTTTATAGGGAGCCAGTGTAAGGCAGCCAGAACAGGAGTAATGTGGTCCCTTTTCCTAACTCTGGTTAGTACACGAGCTGCAGCATTTTGAATCAGCTGAAGCGACTTGACTGACTTCTTGGTACACCCTGATAATAAGGAGTTACAATAATCCAGCCTTGAAGTAACAAATGCATGGACTAGTTTCTCTGCATCGTTTTGAGGCAAGATATGCCTGATTTTTGCAATGTTACGTAGATGGAAGTAGGCGGTCCTTGAAATTGATTTTATGTCGGCGTTAAAGGATAAATCCTGATCAAATATAACACCAAGATTCCTTACAGTCTCACTGGAGGCCAAATTAATGCCATCCATAACTAGTATATCTTTAGATAATTTGTTTCGTAGATTCTTTGGGCCGAGTACAATAACTTCAGTTTTGGTCGTGTTTAACATCAAAAAATGTAAGGTCATCCACGTTTTTAAGTCCTTGAGGCAGTCTTGAATTTTATTTAGGTGATTGGTTTCATCAGGCTTGATGGATAAATATAGTTGAGTATCATCTGCATAACAGTGGACATTTACAGAATGATTCCTTATAATATTGCCTAACGGAAGCATCTATAGTGTGAACAAAATAGGTCCAAGCACTGAGCCACAGTGATGGAAAGTAACAAAGAGGATTTCCTCAATTACTGATCCAAAGTACACATTTAAATCATATGTGGACTTAACTTTAGTTTGTCTTTCTTTGCACTTTACACTTCACTACTACTCCACTACAAGTCAAAGGAAAATTGTAATCCTTTTAAAAAAATGTTTTTAACTTAAGTCACTTTATAGACTCAGATTCTGGCACAAAAACATATGAATACATTTCAAAATATGGTGTTTTGAATTAGATTCCACTATCCAACGTTATAAGTACACCTATAACACATCGACAGCTATTTTACTTATTGGTTACGTTTTTTGTGTCTAATATGTAAAGAATTGCTCCTTTTTTATATTATGTTGTAATAATGTTGAGTTTTGCAATTTTCTGCAAAGAGTTTTTAACTTCTAATACTTTAATTACATTTTCCTGAACATTATCAAATACGCTCAATGCAGTACTTTTATTGTAATGGAGTGTTTTTACCGTGTAAAATTAGTACTTTTACTCAGTCGAAGGACCTGAATATTTATTCCACCCCTGCTCACCTTTTAGTCTAATTCTGTACATTTAAAGGTGTGATTACTCTAACCAGGTAAACACATGAGTAATGAAGTAATATCCCCATGCGCTCCTGGGTAGCAGATGTAGATTAAAGAAAGATTAACACCTAAGTGGGCCCACATGTGCAGCTTGACCTTTACTGACGGAGGAAATACAGGGCGAGAACGACAGATAAATGTCACATTAAAGCCCTGGTGATGAAGGCAATAAAGGCCTCCCTGCCTCAGTCTGTCTGTTTATGTGTGTGTGTGTTGTTGTGAGGTATTAGGTAAGGATATTACAGTGTATCAACAAGCTGAAAGCATGGAAAAATCACTTCACTGTGATGCTTTTGTGATATGCGTTTGCTATGATTCTGCTGCATACAGTATATTGAGGCTGATTAACACACTGATGACAAGTTACTGGAAGAGGATTCTACCTCATACCTTCAGACCCTAAAACCGTGGGAAGGAAGTTTAAAGTGTTGCAGGAATCATAAAGTCATATAACTAGAAAATTAATGAGCGTTTATCCACTTCCAGGTCCTTCGTCTCAAAGTCAACGTTATTAATGTATTGTTGGTTAGATTCCCCGAAATAAAGATATTTTTGACATTAAATATTTCAGTCAATAATCCACTGGTGAATGTCCAAAGCTTCTCTGTGTCATTAAAACAGTGGTTGCTGAAAAGTGACCAAATAAGACTACTAAACGTCATTTTTGTTTTCTGGAAAAATCCCATTGCTAACTTACGATGCTAACCTAGCTCTGGGCCGGCCTACATAAATACAGTACGTCAACACTGCACCACTCTGTCAGGTACATTTAAAACGCTTTTTTTCACTCTAAGAACTTTATTTAAAGATTCAATGATCAATATGACTGTACAAAGTGATCAAATAACGATGTTAAATATGAAACGTGGCTTGTAGTGACAAACTACTAGCCCAGCGCAACACCTTCGTCAAAACATGTTGCCACTTGTTTGTACCATTTTCAGGCGATTTGTAATCTGTTCTAGAAAAACTGGTTTTTAGGATTTCAAGAAGCATATAAAACAAACAATGGATGTATTATATGTGTCACGGCTAGGCAAACCAGTATGAACCCAAAAGCACGACTCGACAAACAAAGTACAAAAGAAAGTCTTTACTGAAAAAAGTGGCACTGTGAGCTCTCCGTAGAGGTAACAGGTCAAGGTAACAAAAAACACTTGCGAGGAAAAGGTTAACATAGTATAAAAAAATGCAAAGGATGAAGTCAATTCCAAAACTCGGTTCTTAGCTCTTGGCAGAAAAAACATGGACTTCACGCTGGCAGTCAGGCACATGTGACGAAACAAACTGGCAACAAGACAAGGGAGACAGAATCTATATATAGGCAGGCTAAGGGGGAACAGGTGCAAACAATTAGGGCGGAGTCGACAATCACAGTAGAGGGA